CTCCCTCCCCAGCCCCATCCTTAGTAAAGCTTGAGCTCCAGACCAGGCAAAATCGAGGGGGCAAGCAAAGTCTTCTGCTTGCGGCCAGTGCGTGCGCTCAGATCCGCGGTGATATTTCTCATGGGCGATTTCACCTCTTTCTTGACCAGATTGCTTTAAAGATTATTATTTTTTTTTTTAATTGTTTGTTGTTTAATGTTCTTAAAATTGATGGGGGCGTCCCCCCACAATGATTCTGCATCGTTAGGACCGGCTGAATTATTAACCAGTGCCTGAGCTGCCTGTCTTGGCTTATTTACCTATTATACCTCTTGGGTAGGGGACCGGCAGGTCACATCAGACTTGGTAAACACGCTGAGAGTCACTATCGATAGGTCCGTTAACAGCCCTGAGGCATCAGGCGCATCCCTTTGGAAGAAGACAAAGGAATTCCGGGTAGCTGGTGGCTCTGCGTGGTGGCAGAGATGATGGTGGCAGAGGTGATGACAGTGGCAGAGATGCTCTTTCGCAGGGAAGAGAAACGGGGGCTCCTCAAGAGGCAAAGTCCAAAGGATGGACCCATCCATCGCGGAGGCAGAGATGCTGTTCGGCATGTTAATAATAAAGAAATAAAAATGCTAATATCAGAAAGGCCCCTTGCATGCGGAGCGGCACCCAGCCTTTAAGACAAACGGAGACAACCCCGAATTTAAGGGGTCAGCAACAAGCCAGGGCAACGATTTAGCACTTGTGGCCGATGGTCAACGGCACGCAAAAGCCTCGTGGGGTGGTTTTATGGGGGGTTTGGTGACAAAAGCCTTGTGTGACGCTGCGGGGACTCTCAAGCCAGTGAAGGGTTGGTTTCGCAAGGGTGGGTTTGGTTGGGGTTCGCCCGGCGGGTGACGAGCCGGCCGTGCCGAGGGGATGCCCTCTCCCTTCCCAGCTGGATGCCGTGCCCCAGCAGAGCGTCCTCCTTGCTAGGCGCCGCATGAAAATGAACCTGATTTCAAGAGACTCTCGGTAGCTCCGAGCTCACGGACATGCAAGAAAACCAACATAGGTGAATTAAGTCATTACAAGATACATTTTATATAAACCGATTGTGCCAAAACCAACTTCTGTTTAAGAAATGAAGCAGTTAATGTTGCTTGAGTGACAACGCACACAGCTAGCACGTGTACGAAATCCAGGCACTGATAACGATGGAAATGAATAATTCAAGCTGTCCAAGGCTGTAGAATAGAAAAACACAGGTTTTCTTATTGATCTCAGGCCTGTTCCCGCTGCCTGCAACATGCATCCGCCTTTTGCACTGCAGGCCGCCCCAGCTCGGAGCGTGTGAGTTGTCCCACCGACTGCGATAGGGTTTTTTTGGGGAGCGTGAGGTTCGGGGTACACCCGAAATCACTGCAGGTCTTCTGCTGCTGGTGTTTTTGGGTTGGGTGTTTTTTTTCCCAGCGGAGTCTCCCTGCTTCCATTTTATTTTATTTTTATTTACTGTTACTGTATTTTACTTCATTTTATTTTTCTTCATTTTATTTATTTTACTGTATTTTACTTTTATTTTTCTTCATTTTATTTTACTGCATTTTACTGTATTTTACTTCCTTTACTTTATTTTTTTTTGGGGAGTGTGAGGTTCGGGGTACACCCGAAATCACTGCAGGTCTTCTGCTGCTGGTGGTTTTGGGTTGGGTGTTTTTTTTCCCAGCGGAGTCTCCCTGCTTCCATTTTATTTTATTTTTATTTTATTTTACTGTATTTTACTTCATTTTATTTTTCTTCATTTTATTTTACTGTATTTTACTGTATTTTACTTCCTTTTATTTTACTTTATTTTATTTATTTTGAAGGGCAGATACTGGGATGGTGGGAATTTTTTTTGCACTGGAAGCTGTCGGAGTCGTGGGGAGGGGGAGCAGCAGTGTGGGCAAAGGATGCCAAGGGGGATCCCATTGCTCCCCGGCATCCCGATTTTGAGCTGGGGCTCTCAGCATCCTCTCTCCTCCAGGTACCATCCCATGCTTCCCTCCCTTGTAATCAGATCTGGGAACGGCGGACCCAGAAATGGCTGGGCTGGTAGCTTGGGTGTTTTAGGGAAAAAAAAAACAATCTGTTGTTGCAAATGTGCTGAGTACAGAGAGTGCCTTGCCCTCTTATCTCCGGTTTGGTTATTGAAAGACTCGATTAACCACAGAAGCCATCGGGAGAGAAAATTTCCAGCGTGGTGGGGTTTGGTTTTTTTTTTCCTGTGCTGCAGTTAATGACAGGAATTGCATTGCCTTCCCAGCGCGGGCGATAGTTAAATATCTGGCGATTACTGCCTTCCCCAAGCGCCTGCCGCAGCAGTCAAGCAAATGCCGGCCTTTCCGGAGGGCTCTGCCTCCTTCTTCCCAGAGGAGAAGCTGGCACGGCAGGAGGATGCTTCTCCCCTGGGACCCCCGCAGCTCCCGGGGCCACACCAGTGCCCACCAGCGCCCGCCAGTGAACCCAGCTGCTGCAGTGCTGCTTCCTCCCATCCACCCCAGCTAAAACACCAAGTTGAAACATCTAAATATATATATATCTATCTATGCATGTGAAATTAAGAACAAAATAGAGAACGCAGCCCAGCTAAAATGGGATCCTCTGTAGTATGAAATTGCACCAGGTTTTTCCTTCCAGCTGCCTGCTCTGTCACTGTCGTGGTTTAACCCCAGCCGG